TACACCTCAACGATTTGATCTCCACAAACTTCATTTGAAAAATATATCACAACATGTTTCGCTAAGACATTAGCTTTTTCAAGTGATTTGTACATCAAATTATCCTTACATTACTATTTATATACTACAGGTGCGCTCTTTAAAAATGGTGTTAATACAAGCAAATATTTCAAGCATTCTCAAAGCGGAAAAATTAAAGTTATAGGCCCAAAAAATCAAAAACTCTCACGTTTGAGCAAGTCCAGAGGTTTATAAATGAGGCAATAGATGCAAAATGTTTGATGATAAAAGTTGCTACTATTTTCGGAATATATGGAGCCTGCCGGCGTAAAAAGTCGTGCCATTTGTTAATAAAAGACATTGAATTGGTGAATAAATCATTGATTGTTCCTATGTATCTTCCGTAATATTCGAGGTTGAACGATGAAACTCTCTGGACTGATATAAATGCTCAAAATGCACCTACCATCTGAATGGGGTTGGCCAAAGTGATATACACTGTCCGTCCACATTAAAATGGGGTGTTCCATCGCGAGTGGCGAACAGTGTATATCACTTTGGCCAACCCCATCCAAGTGGTAGTTGCATTTTGAGCATTTCCATCAGTCCTGAGAGTTTCATCGTTCCACCTCGAATATTACGGAAGATACGGGGGTGTTTCCATAAGAAGATAGACAAATTCGGATTTTTCAGGACTGAATTTTTTTCAGGACTGAATTTTTTTCAGGAAAAAGGTGTATTCGTAGTAAGTTGGTAGTTCTGATTACGAATCTGAAGAAGTTTTGAGCCTATTTTGCCCCCTAATATGTTTTACCGTAAAAATGGGGTGTTCCATCGCGAGTGGCGGACAGTGTATATCACTTTGGCCAATCCCATTCAGGTGGTAGGTGCATTTTGAAAATTTCCATCAGTCCTGAGAGTTTCATCATTCTACCTCGAATATTACGGAAGATACGGGGGTGTTTCCATGAGAATTGAGCCACACTGTATGTATATATGTATTGATAATTATGTATTTATGTGCTGTACATTCACGTGATATGTTAATATTGAAATAATTTATTTAATCATTCAGTAATTTGAATGTTATTTCTGTTATAAACATTTTTGTTTCTTGGGGTTAATAAGGATTATTATTATTATATAAAAGTTCGTCTTGAAATTCATCTTGTTGATAAACAAGAATACAGTATGTAACTTGATCTTGATATAAGTGTAACGAATTGATAGGTTTGATTTAGTTTAAAGTACATTCAATTCTTTCCAGACCATGTATATGAAAACTTGTTTTTAAAAATGTGCCTTCTCTATCAATTTATTCAACTGACTTGGTGGCTTCACGAAAGACTCAAACCTGCACACTGTGATGTACACTTTGTTGGCCACATCAATTCCTTTGACAGCACTCACGGTATTGGATACTTTGCAGTTGATGAAGAGTATGCAGACTTGTCTTATTTCCGTTAGATACTCCAAAGGTTCATCCGCGTCGATGCCCCTCACCACGGGTGCTATGATGAACTTCCTGAGCTCTTTACACATTCTCACCCTTGCAGCATAATTCACCGCTGGTCTTACTGTAAACAATAGATAATTATTAGGTACAATCTAGTATCTATCAAAACACAAAATGTCATAGTGTCAAATTTCTATATCCGATATAGGAAACAAAATGACGTCCTATGTATGATTCAACAGCGGACACATCAGTCCTTCCTATGAAGGTCTGTCTGGTTGCAAATTTTTATTATATGTCAATTGATCTCCAGATCTAAGGATTTGCCGACACTCATGTTTCCATGTTTCCTACTGTTTATTATTTGCATTTGATATTCGATTGCTGTAATAAGTTGTTTTCGCATTTTTAATGATTTTTCTATAAATGTTCCGATAATTGTTATAGTAGGTGATGAAGAAAACATGATCTCTAAAATATTTGCGAATATAGTGGAGCACCTCAAATTTTTAGCTGAAACTTTCATGCCCTTTGTCATCCAAGCCTTCTTTTTCTTAAGTTAAATGTTTTGAAGTGGAAAAGCTTCATTGAAAATGCTAAGCAATTTTTTGTGAAAGTCACGTAGAGTATCCTCAGTTGTCACTATACGTCCCCAATTAGAATTATTACACAGTTCTGTAAATTTTTCAAAATTTGTTTTGCTGTAAACCCTACCTTGTTTGTGTTGTACTGAAGATTTGTCAATGTTATCAAAAGAACACTTACACAAAATTGCATCATGATCATTCCAAATAACTATAGATCAGTCGTTTTGCTATCAGTGATATCAAAAATAATGGAGAGAGCCGTAAACCATCATATCATTGAATATTTGGAAGGCTTCAACATCTTGAGCGATCATCAATATTGGCTTTCAGAAACTGAGAATAACTGGCGACTTTCTATCGTATGTCATCCATATTTATAATACCGCAATCGAGAAACATGGAGAGTGAAAATCTGTTGCACTTGATATTTCTAAGGCTTTTGATCGAATGTGGCATAGGGTTTGCTGGCAAAACTTCGATGCTATAGCTTGTCGGATCATTTTTGTGTATGGCCCTCCAGCTTCCTGAAAGAGCGTTCCCTGCAAGCGAAAGAGCGTTCCCGTCGATGGGTATATTTCGAATACCTTCACCATCAACGTTGGTGTTCCCCAGGGATCCATACTGTCTCCAAGCCTCCAGGATATTGCCCGCGGATGCATATTTTCACCCGATGCAGAATGTTGCATATCTCAATGATGATCTAAAATTGATATCAAATTGGGGTGAAAATAACCAGATTCAATTCAATTCTACAAAAACCCAGGCATCGGTTTTCGCCAAGAAGATAAATGTCTTCGAACGGGATATAATAATGTCATGTCAGACAATTACGCTTTCTGCTTCGATAAGTTTGTTGGGGGTTAAAATAGACACCAATATGTCTTGGCACAATCATGTCGCTGCTTCTCAAAAGCTTAGAACACTGTTCCGAATCAGTATGTTCATAATATAATGGTTACAGTTCAGAAGTATATATAACAACCAGCTGTGTACCACAGGGAAATGATTTGGGCCCACTATAGTTTTTAATGTACATAGAGTCAGGGAGACTTATGTTTGCTGATGATTTGAAATTGAATACTTCCGTCATTTTTTCAAATGATTGCGTGAATTTACAAAGCCAATTGATTAAAATTTTATGTATTTATGAGTGGTGTATAAAAAATAGTCGACAATGTAGAACCGCTTCGTACTGATGAAATGAGAGATCTGGAAATCGTTTTTTGTGTGCAGCTCACCTTTATCGGCTATACTGTAAAGAGTTGTAGAAATTTTACAAGTTTGTCTGCTCTGAAGACAAAGTATCATTGTTAGGTCTGATCTAAATTGGAATATAGATCTCTTATATAGTGTTCCATATATGGTCAATATTTTTCTACCGTTGAGGAGGTACAGAATAAATTTTCACAAGTTTCTTAGCTTCGAGGGAACAATTATTGTTAGATCATACATACTTACATGCATATTGATCGGTTGTAACCCGAGCAGATGTTATTTTAGAATCGTCATCAGCGGTGCTAAGTTTCTCATAAGAGCTTTCGAATCCTCCACCATCGAAATCTTCTATCAAACTGGCACTAGCCGTCAAAATACTGTATGTTTCTGAAATTCAGTTAATTTTTTGGTATCAATACAGACTATTTTCATATAATTATGTGTGCAGGCCCGAGCAAATTCATCTGGAAGTCGAGAGAATGAGAACGAAATCTTCCATTTCTCACCTATATCATCTTTATTCTCGTAGTGCCTCTGAATGTTACGCCAATTTGGGCCAACTCCCAAAACCTGAAGAAAATAATGTTTATACTCCATAATTGATAATTCATGTGAATCCTTTTTTGAAGTTCACTTCGGAAAAAGAAATAGGTTATTACTAGTTTCAATAATTGACAACGTTGTGTCACCATTCACCATCATAATTTAATTTTGATATCGAATTTATATAAATATGAAACCCTCCTCCTCTGAAAATTGAATTCGCTCATCCTCCCAAGTTATTTTTTAGGCAAATAACTTTGATACCGGCTGAAAACTTTATCCCAGATGCCAATTTGTTGAAGCTTACTTGTTGAAGCTTACTTGTATTCCTAATAGTTCTTACCTTAGCAAGAGTTCCACCTGATACCATATCAATGAGATACTCATTGGCACTGATGTGATGTGTCACCCTAGCTGAGATGACAATTTCTCCGGCTGAACTTTTAGATTCGGCTGCCTTTATATCGATGATAGGTTGGCCAATCATGAGGTAGTGGGAATTTTCATTATCTCCAACCAAGGAGAAGGTCAGATGACCAGAAGCAACAGCCAGCTTGACTGCGAATTGAATAATACGTTTTCTAAGTGAAACTGAATTCGGAGTTCCCCAAGGATCAATTCTAGGATCATCAAACAGGAAATTCAGTTTCAAAAGGTTAAAAACAAAAATGTTCAGGTTGAATAGTTGATGTAGCTTTGTTGGAATTTTCAAAATCACTGCGGGTTCCGGAAAATGTTTGAAAAAACACTTCATTGCTTTATTGTGCACCTATTGTTTCTGAAGATCTACAAATATAATTTCTTCTATATCTGATACTGCACTCATTGTGAAAGAGAGGTGTCTTTATGTCATAAGTTATGATATTATAAATATATACCATATAACATAATTCTCAGAAATTTAAATTTGAAAACTTAGCCTCAGTGTAGTTGGGAAATAGGTAGGCCCAAGAATAGATCCTTGAGTAAAACCTCTGATGCTGATTTGATTAAATTTTTCCAGTAAAATTCCCAACCTTCCATACAAATTCGTTTACCTCTGACGACTACATCCACATCCGTCTGATACGTTCCATAGGTCTTTTGTATAACGAGAGCGCAGTCTATGGCTTCGTGCACGGCGTCCCTCAGGGAAAGGTGATCGGTCTCCTTCCAAAGAGCGATAAACGCATCTCCAGAGAACTTCAAAACGTCCCCGCTGTGAGACAAAATCTCCTGCACCATGGCCCCTATGTAGGAGTTGAGGACCTGAGTAAGTCTTGAAGGTCCTCCTTTGCCTGATTTGTTGTACTTCTCGCATAGATCGGTGAAACCTACGGAAGTAAACAGGAACATTATCAACATGATTGAGAACTAATCGACTAAAAAACTTGATGCATATGAACTAGAAAAAACCATGACCACTTCCCTTTTAGAGAAAGCCATTTATGATAAACCAGGCTTCCAGAGGCGTTCGGTTGCAAAGCCATGCTGTTGTTTTTTCTGCAGCTTCCACTGTGGAGCAACCAGTTGAAACCTCAGCTCAAAAGCAAATGATTCGTTATCTATTACCAGACAGCGATCAACTGTCTTCAAAAAACAAACCAAGTATCACTAAGTACAGACATAACCACTGACTTGTTTTGGCTTTGCAACATACTGCCATGGATGACGTCATTATGAGAGGAGACGTCTTTGCCTATTTGTTCGTAGGTTAGATTAGATTAGATTGATATGGGACTTCTGTGCTGAACAGCCACTGCACTGCGACCTTTGCAGGTCTATTGTGTGTGCCCTCATGTATGCTAGAGTTCCTTGTCTAGGCGCGTCCTTGTAACTAGACTCCATAGGCCAGACCTCAAGTTCCCCATATATTGAGAGGGTTGTGGTTTTTCCTCCCCTAATGTTGCAAACCTTATCCTTGACAGGATCCTTGATAGCATAGTATGTGTACGGAGGTTTCCTCATCCTCTTGGCAAAGCCTGCATAGGGCTGTGTCTGCCAGTCCGATGTTGTTCATGTGTTTGTTGAGTCTACAGTGTCCCGTCAATAGCCCGACCAGAACTCTAGTTGATCGCCTATTCAGACTTAGTAAGTACTCCGTGAATTTTGGCGATGGCTCTTTAATGAACTCTTTGGCCTGTCTCGTACCCGGCGCATTATTCCACCATTTTTGAGATTATTTTTCCTTCCAGTTGCTGTTACAAGTTTTCCGCAGCGCTTTTACTGTACCACAAAAGGGTTCTGGGCCAGTGCGGGAGCTTCGTGCTCCTTCTCGTGCTAGTGAATCAGCTAGTGTGAATCGTGCTAGTGTTTTGACTACCTAGTTCTTGTAGCTTTTCTAGGCAGTTCCAGACCAGTGTGGAATTGACCTGCATGGAGCTAATTGCTTTCATAGCTGCTTGGCTATCAGAGTATATTGCAATAGTCTTTTCCTTAAACTCTCGCCTTAGTAACTCTTCTGCGCAGTGACGTATTGCTGCCGTTTCTGCCTGGAATATCGTCACTTTTTTACCTAAGCTTAGTGAGACTTTTGTCTTTGGTTTAGTTATATAGATTTCTGCTACTACACCTTCTTCAGTTTTTGAGCCGTCTGTGTAACAGGCAATCTCTGCATTTATTGGAGGTCCTCCCTTCCATGCCTCTCTGCCTGTTATAATTATTTTGACGTTTTTTCCGAAGCTATATTGGGGAAGCATCTCATCCGATGGCATTCCCATTATGGGGTCGTTTTCCAACTCTTTGTTCGTAGGTTTAGTCTGAGTATGAGTCAAGCAATGATTATTTATCGGTTCAGCCCCTACACAAGAGGTCAATGGCGGATAAATGAAGCTCTCTCTGACATTGAAGGTATTCTAACACCATCCGGCAATGAATTTTTGGCAAGCCATTTTCCACTCTATTCACCTGAAACGTCTCCGAATAACAAACAGGCTTCGAACTCTCTCTTGGAGTAATCGCTGATGTTGTAAATGATCTCGTCCGGTACCAAGGACGCCATTATCCTGGTGTAACTGTCGTCGAAACCTGATGAGCTCTGCTGGAGGGCGGCTCTGCGAGTTTGCAAATTCAGCGTCGCCAGAGGGGTGGCACGCCTCTTCTTCCAGTCATCGTTGTCATCTTCAATACCAACGAGAGTTTTCCTGAGAGCCCAGAAGTATTCTCTTTCGTCCGTTTTACTCGCTGAAAATGTACACAAAATGATTTGAAATGCCGAATCAAATATTGTTTCCGCGTACTTACTCTTTTCCATCATTTTGAGGCTGGTACTTGGAAGATTTTCCAGACAAATTTAAAGTGTTTAAGACTGAATACAGTCTGTCGATTTTGACAAGTCGTCAACTGTCGTTTTGACAAGAAAAAGTATCCAAGTCATCAAGTCAGCGTTCTACCCACAGAATACTAAAAATACTCACATACTCACACGAATCAAATTTGCACTTAAAATCGATGTTCAGGTTTTATCAGCTACATGTGGCTTCAGTGATGCTCGATAGAGTTTAAATTGGGATGATAAGGAAGCAGTCTTACTACTGTGTTTGCATGATTTTGATATACGGGTTATCGTCCCAACTTTCTGAATGTGTGGGACAAATGGATATACGTTTCATCCATATGGATTATTTGTCAACCTCCTCTATATATTTTTTTAGTTTATTCATTCTTTAGATTATGTCTAGCATAATATAGAAATAATATATAATAAGGGGGCCTAACCATGCCAAATCAATTGGGAATATGTTCCCGGAAGTGGCCGGTCGGGGTCCTAAGCTCGGATACTAGTAGCTCCGCCCAACCGGGGTCCGACACCTCAAGCGTCTGCCTTGGTGCCCTCCAAGACTAGACTCGGATACTAGAGCCCGGAAGGACCGCGAGCCCCGACACCTCGAACGCTCGGATCCGTACAGAAGCAGGCGAGGATCACGGAACAGCATAAGCCGTTCAGTACCTCAGAATGGGGCTGCAATGCACCCATGAATGGATTACCGCAACCCTGTATCCCTTTACCCGCTAGCGGAGCCGCTGCCCCTAAGAGGCCAACGCCAGTTGCAGATGAGGCTCACTAGCCTCCAGCCGCGAGCGGGCACTCACCTCCCCCCTAGAACTCATGTTAGGAAAGTTCCCTTTCCAACGTTTGATGAGTAACCGTCGAGGACTCTCACGAGCATCCTCTACCACACATCATATGTCGAAGATGTCGCGCCCATTACCCGTGTAGGTGCGGGATAGGGCGGTTCATCAACAACTTTTGGGTGTACGCCGTGTGGTCTGCACCGCATACCCTTACGTCACCCCGAGGGGCACTCATGTTAGGAAAGTTACCTTTCCAGCGTTGGATGAGTAACCGCCGAGGGCTCTTGCGAGACACCTCTCCCACACATCTAGCTTGAAACCGGCCAACGCCTGTTACCCGCAGGTGCGGGATTGGGTAGTTGACCGATAGCTTTACTGGGTGAGTGCCGTGTGGTCTGCACCGGGGGACTGTCAAACACCCATAAGAGAGAGACAGTGATCCCCCGCCACTCACCCCGTGGCACCCCGTGTATCAGTGTAGTACTGTATAGATAAATTAATATCAAAATCATTTTACACAAATTGTAGTCGATATAATTAATATAGTTATTGATGTAACTGAGTGCATGAAAGCATGAAAAAGGAGTCAATATAATAATATTGGTGATTAATTATTTGTAATTGGTTCTTATTACTATTTCATCCATAATACAGAACAAGTCAGGTGTCAGGAACAGTTTGTCCATGCGAGTTTTCGATTATACAAATAAGAGACTTAACCCATAAACTTATAAAGAGATTACAGATTACAGATCATACATAAAAACATCTAAAAGCAATAAAAACAAGCGGTTTGATAAAATATAAAATATGAAAATATGCATGCATACATAATATATAAAATCAGTTAAAATCTGTGTCTCCCAAATACTCAATTATATAGTAGTACGCTTTTTTTTAATAAGTTATTTTTGACTACTATTTTGAATTTATTCAAAGGAAGATCTTTGTAGCAGTTTGGTAGACTATTAAACAAGGTTATTGCCATGTATTTTGGGCAGTTCTGTTTTTTGGAGACGATTATTCGGCCCTTCCAAGATTGCTGCCTTTCTTGTGCGATATCTACTGTTTCCCAGCGCTCTAAATGAGGCCAACTCTGTTTTGGCATATATCAGTATATGCATGACATACAAAGAATGGAAAGTCAGGATTTTCAGCTGCACAAATATATTTTTACAGCTTACTCTCCTGTCCACTCCAACGATATTTCTAACTGCTCTTTTCTGGAGTTTGAGTACCCTATCGGTTTCCTGTGATACTCATTACTGACTGAAAGTGTGAAAAATATATTATCATCAATACAGATTTTTCGACGGTCTTCCTGAGTTGGTACACTTTGAAGCTAGTTTGCACACTTCATTTATATGGGTAGTCCATATACAGCGTTCATTCACGCATGCAGCCCAAGGAACTTCGAAGAAGGTGCTTGAGTGATAGATCTGCCGTTAGATTTTACCAACAAGCTGTGGTCGAGTTTATTATTTGAGTGACTAAATCTTATGAACGTTGTCTTCTCCATGTTCAAAACTAATCCATTTGCAGAGAACCATTCCTCAGATATTTTGATTTCTTCATTGGACTTCAAGACTGTATGCTCTACATTACTCCCTGTAGCTATGAGGGAGGTGTCGTCTGCATACATTATACAACTTTCATTAGAAATGTCATTCACGCATATTAGATATAACAAAGGACCTAAAACAGAACCCTGGAAAACCCCTACATCATTTATTGTTTTCAACGAAGTGTGATTGTTTGCTTGAACATACTGCATCCTGTTTGTCAGATAACTTTTTAGCCAATCATGTACTACTTCTCTGAAACCGTACAGTTCTAGTTTTGTTGAAAGAATGTCATGTTCGACAAGATCGAATGCCTTGCTTGGATCCAAAAAGGTGCAAACCACTTTGTTACCTTTGTCTAACTCCTCCGAAAGTCAATTTACAAGCGTCACCATTGCATTTGAGGTTGATTTGCCCCTTTGGAACACATATTGATTCATGTTCATTAAATCAAACCTATCCATGGATTCTGTTATTCTATTGGCAACATGTTTTTCAAAAACCTTAGCAATATATTTCCAGTATCTTTACAAAATTTTCTCCTCGAGTGCTGGTTTCCCCTCGCTGTGTGTATTTCTTGTGTTTGGCAATACAGGGTATCCGGTAAATGCAATTCTTGGAATCGCAGTCCGCGTTGGTGGCCTAGTTTTCGTGAAGCTGCTACGGATACTGTTTCCGGATCTGAAGCAGGTTCTGTTGTTGTACTTGGTCCCAATTCTTCTTATCCTTTCCTACAATCCTCTGATGTAGGGAAGTGCAAGCACTGGTTGTGACGGCTCCTCTTCCACGTGAGGCCCTTGCTGTCTTCTAGCCAAAGTCTATTCCACCATCACTTCGGACTAACCATTCCGTTGAAGATCATTTTTGATGATGTCTAGTTCCTTCTCGAGACCTTCCTTCGTATTACAGAGCCCGAAAGCACGGTCTACCAGAGTCTTGATGATTCCTCTCTTAGTCGATTGATGGTGGTTGGATTCGTGGTTCAAATACTGTCCTGTGTGAGTGGGTCGGTCCTCTACACCAATATGTCTAAGAATGGCAATTCGTTGTGGACTTCCTTCTCCATATCTCTCGATAGATACATCTGGCAAGCTACCTCAACCTTTCCTTCAACTCTTTCTAGATGTTTGTTTCAGATCAACTTATATTTCTCCACATTGAAGGGTTTTAGGATCTCTGTCTTGGTCCTCTTGTGCATGCTACTATGGTGGATTTTGTTGTTGGAATATTCAATAAATGTCAACATCAAGGTCAACTCAAGCACACAATCCGACCTCACTAGGCCCTCGTTCATTTTATCAACGGTTTATTAGCTATTTGTTCTATAAACGATCCTTCAATTAATGAAATAATTAGGAGAGTTTGTTTTATACGGAAATAATGAAGTAGCTGCTTCCGTTTCCACATCTATTATTCATCGTAATTATTGTTTCTTCGGAAAATTGTCAGCCGCAGGCAGTAAAACTGTAATTTGCAGGTAATTGCTAATGTAGTTATAGGGACTAGTTGATGTCAAAATAAATTGTACTGATGTCGTTAGTTGATGGGGTAATCTAATTTGATTCCTTGATTTCTTCTGGTTGTTTTTTTCAGGAGTTCGAGAACGGGACATTTTATAGTTTCATATTGTTTTTTTTGTTTTTCGATTCTCCATAACGTCAACGTCCTTCAGTATGGGTGAAGGTCATATAAAACATCAGCATAGTTGAATCCCAATAAGACCAACTCTCACACCAACCGAAAAAATGTTTATCGTCAAACTCAGAGTCAGAGTCAGAAATGCTCTATTGTCATAAAAGTTTAGGTTTTGTTGACAAAGCAGGCTTAAGAACTAAAATAATCTGAAACATTAAAATAAAGGTCAAGAATTAAAACAAGATATTAATATGGCTCTAGCACACTTCAAAAAGTCCATGGTAAAAGTCTGTGATAAAAAATTTAATGAGTTGCAATTATAAGTTGTGAAGTCATCCGAAAGAAATTCCTCAGTACTATAATAAGCTTTAATCTTCTTTAATCTGTTTCGAAACTATTTGTAGCAGGTTAAGTTTCTGATTGAAAGGGGGAGGGGAGATGATTGAAATATTTTTTGCTATTATAAAAAATCGAGTTATTATTTTGTGCTGTTGGCGGGATAAGAAGAGGGATATTGAATGTGAGAAGAGTAGCATAACTTTGAGTTGAGTTCGAGATGTTATCTTTGTGATTTTTGTGCATTAGACAGACTGTTTCTGAAATAAAGAGGTAGTAGACTGTCAAGAATTGTATATTCGATAATTAATATGTATGTTTGAGAAATTTATTGATATATCTGCCAAATCTGAGATCACCATCCAAAAGCAAGCCTTATAGCTGTTTGTACCAACACCAATGAATCATCACTAATTCTAATATCAACATAATTACAACACTANTGATAGAAAAGCTTCCTACTATGCAAAAGTTTTCATGGGGAAAATTCAAGCATCAACGTGATTTGAAAGGAATACAAACATCATTAGAAGATTTTTCTGAATGGTTTGAAGAAGAGCTCAACTCGATGGCCGCTTTTAGTAATCCTTTTCAAAGAAATAGTCTATCTAAAAATTCTATCAGAAGGGAAACTGTCATGATTTCAAAAAGAGATAGTTTTTCGAAGAATAAAACTAGTGAGTGCATTTTTTGTAAAAATCTTGACCACGTATTATCAAAATGTACG